CATGACGTCATCACGTCGCTGCGCCACCGTCTGTGCAACCCCCCCTCCCCGGAAGGGGGAAGGGGGAGCCCCAGACTCTCCACGCCGGTGATCCAACTGGCAGTTCTTGGCTGATGGAATTACTGGCTGGTCGAGTGCCTCTGGCTCCGGTTTTTGTTTGTTCTGTGCCTTGTGGTGTGGACTGTCTCTACTGGTGGGGTGTGAGCCAGGAGTAAGATTCCACGGTACTCGGGCTGCATACACCAAGGGCTATCTTCCCTAGGTGCCCTGTAAGTACTACCCTTGGGGCTTAGGGCCACCAAGAGCTGCATCGCTCTTGGTTGTTTGCGGCCCCGAATGCCCCGAGGCTGCCCTATTTTGGTGGTTGGGGTCCGGACTTGGGGGGGGGGGTTGCTTCGGCTCTGGCTCCTTCCGCTCCTTGTCCTTTCCCTTCTGTTCTACACACTTCCTCCCTTGCTTCCTGCTCCGAACCATAGGCAGGTTTCGGGGTTGGGGCGGGTTCTGGTTGGGTTGAGACTTGGGCGGTCTTGGGGGTTTCCTCTTCCGGGGTGGCGGCGGAGGCATTAGAGTCGGTTCCTCTTGCCGTGCCGAATGGGTCTGACCAGTGGGCTCCCTTCCTTAGTGTTTGCACGGCTGCCCCGGCTCTTCCTTGTCAAGCTGGGGCTTTGGGGGTGTGGCTTGGCCCCGGGTCATGCTGTCGAGGTTCCCGGGGTTAGAGAGGGGTTGCCTGGGGGGCCTCGGCCCCGTTTGCCCCTCTTGGGTCCTTGTACCTTTGGTGAGGGGCTGGCAGTTCCTCAGAGTGGGGTTGTTCCTTCCTTCTCTGTGTTCCTGTTGTTTTCGGGTATACCCCTCCCTGGGTTCGGTTCCGTGTTCCTTGGGGTTCGCCGGTCCCGTCGTTCCTGGGGGTGTGTTTCGCCCCCTTTTTCCTTACCCTTTTCGCTCCTACATCGCGATACTGTTCCAGAAGAAAAATAAATAAATAAACTTGAATGTTTATTCAGGTAAGGTACTTTCATGCGAGGTGTGAAACACACGTTGATGGATTTATATGTTGCCTGGTACAGACAATGCCTAAACCACTTCGTATCGTTGTCCCTGCATGTCCCTTCATCACGGGTGCTTGTCGTGGTTCTCGTTGGTTCGCGAGTCTCTTCGTACCTTCCAATATTATTAGAACGTCTGTTGATTTTCGATGTGGTTTCCCTCTGGTCTTTTGTCAGCCTCGTTGGTTACCTTCCGTCATCTGTTTTCTCTTGCTTCGTTTTCGCCTTGTTTTGTTTTCGCGTCGTCTCTACTTCCATTTTTGGCGTTCTTCGTTTTCGTTTCACATGCCTTCCTGGTGTTTGTACGATGTGTGTTTACGATGTGTGTGTCTGCCTGGTGTGCGAGCCACGCCTCCCTTGGCCGGGTGGTGTGTTCGTACCTCGTGTGCTGGGGCCGCGGTGTGCGTTTTGTTTATAGGCGGTATGCTCGTGTGTTCGCGTCGTTTCTCGTGGTTTTTCTATGGCTTCTTGCTTGTTTTCTCCCTTCGGTCATAGCCCTCTTGATTCTGAGGGTGTTCTGGATTTATATTTGGGGGTGTCACTCCGTTCTTCCTCTGCTTCTGGGTGTGGGATGGCTCGGCATGGCGCCGCCTCCTCCCCCTCTGTACTGCTCCGTCTTCTGCGGGGCGCGCACCTCTGGATGTATTTCTCCTTCGACTTCTGAATTTTATTTACGTAACGGTACATACCATGCCTACTGCCTCGAGTACGCTTGGCTTTCGGTCACACCATTAGCGCTGCTTCTGGTATGTTACTTGGCTCGCCTGTGTTGTGGCACGGTCGTGTGTCTGCTCTGCAGGTGAGGTTGTCATGTCTGGCGCCTCTGTCGGCCAAGGGGTGGTTCTCACTTTTGGTGGGGTGCTTGCCTAGTTGTGCTTGTGGGGGTTGAGCTCTGGCTCTTGGGCCCCGCCTCTCCTGTCAGTTGACAGTAGTGCAGTTTCCTGAGCCTCCTGGGCTCTGTCTTCTCTACATTTGCTCCTGTGGGTGGAGTCTGCCTCCACCACATAGCTTCTTAGTGCTTTCCGCTTCCTTTCCCCTCTGACATTGATCAGGTTGTTTTTCATGTCTGTGGCTCCTTTGGGTACTCGGCTTCCTCCTGTGTCCCCTTGTGCATACGACCATACGGACCTAAGACCAGAGGAACTGCAGAGGGCCTATTTGCTCGTGCGAGGCAGCTCTTATTTCTTCCCACCCATTCCTATCTCGTATTCATGTCCAACCCGCGTTTGCACAAATTGTGGGGCCCCACCACCACGTTACGCGGTAATTGGATCTGCGAATCACCGAACCTGTTGCTGTGCTGATCATTCCTCCAGTCTTTCCTGATTCTACACTTATCCCTTTTATGCCCATTGTTTCGTGTCCAAAATGTGCTGCAAGGGTGGCGTGTGCCTCTGTCCCAGTTCTATTGTTTCATGAAGATTGGTGACAATAAACACAACCACTAAGAGGCTACATATATGTTTAGTTGCGTATACAGTGGTATGTGGGTGATATTTTGTAAGCGGGCAATGGTGCGAGTTCAGAGCACTGAGAGTCGGTACGGTATCTCGCAAGTGTCTGTTCTAGACCACAATTGCAGATCGACTAGTTATTATTCGCTACTCTGCTGCTTCTATGATAGGGCAACACCTCGCCGTTCTCCAAAGGTTGGCAGGGATATTAACTGGAAGTTAGGAACGGTTTGAGTTCCATAATTGGTCCTCCATAGAGCTTTGCTTCTCTCATTAGGCTAATGCATTTGGAGCGAGTATCTTATTGGGATAATCTACTCATTCCACCACCGTTGTTCATTGCTCCATCCTTGTTTACTCTTCCCCACTTGGCGGGATTGCATCGATGGCTCCTAAGAGGTGTGTTTGGTGTGGTGTGATGTGTTGTTTGGTCACTTTGCGTGGGTCTTCAGTGACTTTTGTCCCTGTCTTTTGTTCTTTGTTGTCCTGTGGGGCTCTGCCCCTCATTTCAGTGCTTTTGGTTTCGTTGTCGACACCTGGGTCTTTTCCCTCTCAGGACACTCATTCCTTGCCTATCTTTGGTGCCTGACTGCACCCTGCTGTCCATGAGGTCCATCGGGTATGTACGCCCTCCTCTACACATTTTGTGGTTGGTCGGGTGCCATACTTCGCGGCCACTCCTTGGGCCATATTCGGGGTTTTCCTTACCTATTTCCGTTTTTCCTCCTCCCATGCTCCACCTATTTGTGTATCTGGGTCAGTACTTCTTGACTATCCTGTTGTTGGTGCTCAGGTGGGCCTCTGTCCATGTTACGTTCCCCGCTTTTGGACTTCTCCGGTGTTCCGTTTTGGTACCGAGTTGCTGCTATTTTTCTGTGTGACTTCCTGTAGGCTTTGGTGTTGCACTGTCTGTGGAGGGGTTGTGGACTTTTGGTCTGCCACTCGTGCCTTCCTGGTTCCTTGGAACTGGGTTTGCTGGGTTCCGGACCTGGTTCCGGTTTTTCTTTGTTTCTTTTCCGGAACGGGTGTGTTTGCTTTCCTGCGGTTCACATCCTGGGTAGTTCTTCTCTTGAATGCCTCTGGGACGCGTGCGTCTTTCTTCCCTTCTGGAGCTGGTTATCTTGCTCCTTTGGGTTGCGGGGTCACAGTTTTTTTATTCGCGTTTTGTGCTTTCGTTCGTGGTGCTAGTTTCTCGTCGTTTGTGTCGGCATTGGTGGGTTCCTTATTGGTCTCCCACATGTGTGTTTCCTCTTGGGGGCGGTGTGTGGTTTTCCTGGCGGTCCTTCCAGTTTTCTATCACTGCGAAGGGTCCTTCGGTCTCTGATAGAGTTGGCTTGTCTTCTCTTCGGGGTTGTTCCGGGAAAGTCGTCTGGGCTCGTGTCCTGTCACCTCGTATTGGGTGGTGCTGGCGGAGCCACTCCTGCTTGCGTTCAGTGTTGCGGTTCCCTCTGCTCCGTTCCACTTGCTGTCCTGGGCGTTGTTTCCCTCTGGCCTGCTCTTTAGTTCTGGTGCCATCCTGGTAGTTGGCCTGGGTGGTCTATTTTCTTCTCGTTTTGGTCTTTGTTTTGTCTGTGGTCTTGGTTTTTAGGTTAGGGTGCGTGGCATCCGCCTCCCGGTTCCTTTCCTGTTTTTCTTATCTGTGGTGAGGTAGCTCCGGGGAGCCGAAGGGGCTCCTCCCCCCCCCCCCCAGAAAACCAGTGTTGAATGTAATGAAACGCCATTTTCTGGGTGAGTCCCGGAGGCTCCCCGGCATCCCTCCCTCCCTCCAGTCGGCGGTGTTTTTCGCGTAATTTGACATCCAGCCTAAGAACTGCCAGTTGGATCGCCAGCGTGGAGGGTCTGGGGCTCCCCCTTCCCCCTCCCAAGGAGGGGGGGTGGTTGCGCAAACGGTGGTGCAGCGACATGATGACGTCATGCTAGTTAGATAATTTTGTTTAGGGAGTTCTGTCCACTTGTTCGGCTTTCGGTAGCAATATTTTTACCAGAATAGGGGTTTGTTTTGGGGCGCCTACCTTTCTGGGTGCCTATCCCGGTCGATGGCAGACATAGAATGCTCCTAACCACAAGGGGGTTCTATAAGCCATTGCTCCTCGTGCCTCTCTGAGGGGGCCAGGTTCTGGCTCGTTGTCCCCGGTAGGCAAGAACTCCTAGCACTTTGACTGATGCCAGAAAGTTATACATATCCATTCAGCCTGGATAGCTCCAGGGAGCCTCCGGGACTCGCCCAGAAAATGGCGTTTCATTACATTCAACGCTGTTTTTTTTTTACATTGAGTGAGATACAGCAGTTCACTATAAAATTTATGACAAATTGTTTGGATAAGTAGAAATTAAAGTTACTGTACTACAATTTAATTTAAATGATGATAATGATTCTAGTTGGATTAAAGTAATTAGCATTAATTGAACATATTTATTGAATTTATGAATTGCATCATCTTGCTGTCATAATCTGCATACAACTTGGTGCTGTTCATGCAAGTATTTTCATATTCCTTTACAGGCAGTTTGGGACTTGCTTACACCTTGGAATGGTTTACTGAACAGTACCTGTCAGTCTCTCTTAGATTACTATGCTGCAACGCTTAATCTCACACCACCAGTTACTATATTGTCATGGTGGAAGGTGTCATCTGAGTGTCACATTACAGACCAAGCATTCCTCTTAAATTTGTTGAAGATTGTACAAGGTTACTTAAAGGAAGAGAGATATTCAGAGGAGGAAATTCAGGTAAGATTTTGCATATTAAATACATTATAAATCTTATATAATGTGTTTTTTGTTTGTGTTGTTTTAAATGATATTCAGGAAATGACTCTCAAATGTTTGGATTATATCATTTGCTCACAACCAAAGATCTTTGGTTCAATTCCCAGACAGGACAGAGATAGTTGTGCATATTTCCTTTCACCTGATTCCTCTGTTTGCCTAACATAAAGTATTTAATTCTGATTGTAACTTAAAAATTTTGCTGCCTGATGCCACATATTTCATCATGAAATCAAAATATGGAGTATGCAGCATGATGCAAACGGCATCAATAATTTAAAAAATTTTAGAAATTTCATTTATTGTCCAAATACTATGGGACTTGTTTTAAAATATGTGGCAACTTATGCCCATTCTCTGTATACCCCACGTGGCATCCTGACCCCGCCATGTGGGCGCCCACCCATGCTGGAGGCTCACTTTTCTCGTGACCTCGCTCGTGACAGCCAAGTCCTCTCCTCGAGTCTAATAGTTTCCCCAGTCTCGTTATTTTATCTTGGATATTTGTTGTTGCCGGCTTTATAAACACTGTAAATTGACTTCCAGATGGATACTGGTCAAGAATAGAGCCAATCTATGATGAAGTCAGTGAAAGAAACATGTATGAGGGAAAAGTTATTGAGTTTTCACCGAAAGTATAGAAAAGTGAGACTTGTATGTTCATATATGCAAATATCGCTTTACAACATTGTATTGTGAACAATTTAATACCAAATTGAACTACGTAGGATGAAAATTTAGGTGAGAAAGCTGAAAAGAGAATTAACATTGGAGTGGTGAGGTCTCAGGCAACGCTCGAGCTACCTTCCGGTGCGCGGCAGGCCTAAAGTATAGGAGAGTGAGACTTATATGTTCTTGTATGCAAATATCCCATTACATCATTCCATTGTGAAGAATTTGAATATGACAGTATTTTGTTTGTACTCACCAATAAAAGAAGTCCTGATCCACTTCTTATGTTGATGATCATTGTTGATAAAAAACCAGCGTTGAATGTAATGAAACACCATTTTCTGGGTGAGACCCGGAGGCTCCCCGGAGCTATACCGGGCTGATGTGTATATATTAGACCGTGGCAACAGTCAATCGAAGGAGTTCTAAGCCTACCGGGGACCAGAGCCAGAACCTGGCCCCCTCAAGAGAGGCACGAGGAGCAATGGCCTAAAGACACCCCCGTGTAATTGGAAGCAGTCTTTGTCTGCCATCTACCAGGTCAGGCACCCAGAAAGGTAGGAATTCCAAAACAAACTACTGCTGATCAAATAAATTGCAAACCGAAAGCCGAACTAGCAACAGAACTCCCCAATCAAAACCAAGGAAACAAGTATGACGTCACCACAAACGCCGCGCATCCGTCTGCGCAACCCCCCCCCCTCCCCGGGAGGGGGACAGGGGGGTCCCAGACCTCCACGCCGGCAACTCTCCTCAGTTCAGAGGCTGAGTATCAAAAAACGCGAAAAAACGCCGACCGGAGGGAGGGAGGGATGCCGGGGAGCCTCCGGGTCTCACCCAGAAAATGGCGTTTCATTACATTCAACGCTGGTTTTCTGTGGAGAGCCCCTTCGGCTCCCCGGAGCTACCTAACCAAAGACAAAGAAAAGGAGGGACTTACCCGGGAGGCGGTCGTCACTCGCTCCTCAACTCGAAGTCGAGACAAATGGCTGCAACCTGCGACCCAAGGCTACACATGCCCGAGAAGGCCCAGGAACATAAACGAGATACCGTGCAGCCAGGAACCTGTTCGACCTCCATAAGCCTCGTGCCCGAATGTCAGCCCAGGACATATTCCCCAAAACAGCAGCCAAAGCCGCGAACTTACGAACGTCGTGGGCACGGGGATAGACCGCAGGCTGGCTGGACCGAATAATCCTGCGGACGACCTGGGAGAACCGCACCTTGGAACAGGGAAGAAGGGAAACCGGGTCCACCCAAAGCGTGTCCCCTGCCACGGAGGCGGTGGCGCGCAGATACCGGCGAAGAGCCGCAACTGGACACAAAACATGATGCACCCCCGGCCGAACCAACCAAGCATCAACAACCCAAGGACCCCTTCGGAAAGCAGCAGATTGATTCTTCACCAGAAAAGGAGAAGGCTGCAAACGAACGAAATGACCACTAGGACCGAAAGAGCAGAAACCCCTGCACCGGAGGAGAGCATGAAGCGACCTGTCCCAACCCCCAGAGGCCAATGCCCTCAAGAAAGGAACCTTAGAAAAACAGTCCTGAACTGAGGAGGCCACCACAAACCGAGGAGAAGAGAGAAAAGAGAGCACCCGGTCCAACGACCAGGACGGCTCAGGCGGCGCATGAGCAGGCCGGAGGTGAAACAACGTCCGAGAAAGCTTGCGGAACGGAGCAGAAGAGACATCCACCCCGAAAGCAAGCTGCAGCGGCTCCGCCAGCACCGCACGAAACGAGGCGACAGTATTTGGCACAAGATGACGGTCCTGAAACAACTAAGAGAGAAAGGACAAAACAACCCGATCAGAAATCGAAGACAACCTACGAAGAGACAAAAATTGCCGAAAGGACCGCCAGGAAATTTCATACTGCCGTCTAGACGAAACTCGCAGGTGGGACACCATCAACTAAGCCACCTGATCACCATACAAGTGGTGATACACCCGCATAAAAAAAACCAGACGCGAAGAGTGGAGGAGAAGATCGAACCAGCCACGTAACGGACCGGACCGATCTGCTGAAAGAGGCGGAGCCGCGGGAAGACTCTCGGGTTCGGACATCGAGCAAGAAGCGCCTGAAACCAAGGCTGGCCTGGCCACCAAGGAGCCAACAGGACTACTCTCCCTTGGCAAGTCTCCAACCGAGCCAGGATCCGGAGCAACAACCGGACCGGAGGGAAGAGGTACAGGTAACTCCGCCTCGACCAGTCCAGCCGAAAGGCATCGACCCCGACGGCCTCGCAGTCTGGGAAGGGCGCCACATAAACTGGAAGACGCCTCGACCACGCCGATGCGAATAGGTCCACCTCTGGGCGCCCGTACTTTCGGCAGAGCCAACTGAACGAGTCGGCATCGACCGTCCATTCCGTGGAAAGGGGAATGAACCGAGACAGGCTGTCCGCCAGGACGTTTGACACCCCCTGAACATGAACCGCCAGGAGAGCCAAACTCCGAGAACTCAGCAGACAAGTCACCCAAAGCAATCAGCCCCAAAGAACCAAAGATCGCATCAAACCCCCGCGGTTCAGGCAATGAACCACCGGGGAGCAATCCGAATGGAGCCGGATCATTACTCCTCGAGCAACCCAAATCCTCTGAAGCGAATGCCACACCACCTCAAACTCCCACGCCGTGTTGTGAGCTCAATAGAAGGATGGACCTCACCAACCCTGGCGGGCCTGGTGAGCACTTGTCACAAAACCTCAGCCGAGAGACGAGGCATCCGTGAACACATCGAGCGAGGGCTCGGGGAGGCGCCACGGCACAGAACCCTGAAAAACCCGCAGAGGAAGCCAGCGACGCAGCAGCCAACGCAAGGCTCCCGGGATCCGAACCCATCGATCGCGAGAGCAGCAGAAGGGACGACCCTGAAGAAACCAGAACATCCGCCGAAGCCGGATCCGACCCGATGGGTAGACCAGCACAGTGAAGTTCAGGCTCCCGCACAGCCGCTCAAACAACCGACGTGTGACCCGGGTGCCCTCCAAAAACAGCCGGAGGCGGGACCGCAGCTGCAACAGCGTCGCAGGAGGGAGAGACAAGGAAGCAGTCCGAGAGTCCCACACCAGACCCAGCCAAGTCCGAACCTGAGAGGGAACCAAAAGGGACTTCCTCCAGTTCACCATGAACCCGAACCCGGCGAGCTGGGAAAGAACCATATCCCTGGCGAGCAGACACGCGAACTGGCTGGGAGCCCACACCAGCCAGTCGTCGAGGTAAGCCAGAACCTGAACCCCTAACAGAAGCAAACAGGTCACCACGACCCGGTAAGGCGTGTGAACACTCGAGGTGCCAGATTCAAGCCGAATGGAAGGCAATGAAAGCGGTAAGCTTGTCGCCCCACGACAAAACCGAGCCAGTCCCTGAACCCCGGATGAATCGGGACGCGTACAATAAAATTATAAAACAAAAACGCGTCCCGGAGGTCCAGAGACACCATCCAGGCACCCGGTGCCAAAAGCAGCCGGACCTGAGACAGAGTGGTCATCCGAAAGGAGGGGCAAAAGTCCCAGGGATTCAGACTAGACAAGTCCAGTATGAATCACAGATCTGCACAGTCCCGTTTCGGAACTGAAAACGGGTGGAACCCACCTGAGGGACGTTGTCGTTTCGACCACACCCAAGCGAACCCACCCCCGGATGACCTGACAGAGCACAGGAGAAGAGGCCTGCCCTGCCAGCCCTGATCCCCCCGAAGGAGGAGGAGCGACCCAATGCCACCACAGGTCGGAGGAAACGACCCGAAATGCCCACGAATCGTGGGACCAGGCGAGAGCAAACAGCGCAAGCCTCCCCCCCCTTCCTATCGCCCCGTCAACGGGGCAACCCGCAAAAGGGCCAACGACCCCTACGAGAGCCCAACCGAAGCTAAGAGCGATCACTGCGCCGACCAGAACACCGACGGCTCCAGAAGAGGTGCTGGCCCCGAATCTGACACTACTGGCTTACGACGACCGAAGGAACCCCGAGACCTGGCACAACCCTTCCGGGCAGGACCTCCATGGCCCTCAGAGAACCTACAAGTCCGACAAAGGCCGTCACAGGACGAAGCCGCCTGCAGAAAAAGCACCACCGCAGACTCTGCAAACAGCAACGGACAAAAAGGTGATGAAAATCTAAGAGCCAGGGCCCAAGACGATTCCAAAATTTGGACGAGCACCGCCTGTCAGCACGCGAGGCGAGAAGCGAAGAACAGACACCGCCTCCCTCAGAAACGGCGCATACAACTTCACCAAAGCAGCCGGCGCCCGAGCTGCCGAAGCAAGCACACCGGACCCTGGC